ACTTAAAAGTGGGCTCAATAAAGAGTACAGCAATTTATTTATTTTAGGATATTACACTGAAAACATGTCCAAATCTTTACACAACTGCAGTTGCGTTTCAGTGCGTAACAATGCATATCATCAGACGATTGCAAATTAATCCTGATGAGGTGCATTTTTACACGTTGAAACATGACTGCAATTGTGTAGCGATTTTTATGTTTTCGGTGTAATATACTAGAAATTTTCATCGTCAAAGGACGAATATTTTCTATGAAAATTTCTCGGACATTCAGGCCGGTAAATGTTATTTAATACTGTTTATTATAAACAGAGCATTTACTTAAATACTTGTATCTATAAAAAGAATGTTAAACATAAACATGTCTTTAATAAATATATATATATATATATATATATATATATATATATATATATGCCATTTCATATTATTGTGTATACGCCTATTAATACATATTCGAAATGCTGCACGTTAATGTAAATATACATATGCATATATATCTATATCTATCAAAATATGGCTATACATACATATATGTATTTATGCATAAACAGTGCATAATATACGTGCCGACTTTCTTGTTAATATATATATATGTATGCATATCCATGTAATGTGTTGTTCAAATACGTCACACACACACATGTTCCGCATATATATATATATATATATATATATATATATATATATATATATATATAATGCTTTTCATTGAATGGACAACTCAGGAGTTTCCTGCAACACAATTATCAAGTACTCATATGTTTATATGTATTTGTTTCATACTGTCGCAACTATCAAATATTTATATGTATTTGTATACGGTCACGCCTGACAAAAAAAAAATTTACCTATTTGGTCATATATATATATATATATATATATATATATATATATATATATATATATATATATATATATATATATATGTATATATTCCTTACTGTTTACTGGAAGCGGCCAATCGATATATAGACAGATAAAGATAAAAATAACATTAATGAAACAAAATTATATATATATACATGTACATAAGAACAAGACTTGTCCAAACAGATAACTGAAAGTTTTATAAGATCAGCGCTCCGTTTAAAATATGGTCACGTTGTCATCACGTGGGCGACGCTGTGAAAACGTATTCGGTTTGGATAAGTCTTGTTCTTATGTACATCATCTTTGTCATGTTGAATTTATAATGTTAATTATATTTTATGAATATGTCCTGAAGATGGTTTATTAGACCGAAACGTCCGACGTTGACATATTAACATTAAAACAGCATAATTGTATATAAGGATTTTTGTTTGTTTTTTCCGTATATTTTCTTCATACTGTCGGATCTATATCCATATATTTGCTTGCATATACATATATATATATAATTTTTTTTTGTTTGAGATGCCCAAAGAAGCAGCTCAAACTTCATCATTCTTACCTTAAGCTTGATAGACTGTTTCTGCAATTGTCGTCAATATATCAGCAATTGACCTGGAGAAACGGAAGCCGTACCGCCTGTTTGAAATGAAAGATGCTTAACCAATTCAGCATTGATTTAGGTAGTTTACCAAAAAGAGGTCGAAGGTTGATAGGTCGATAATTGGAAGGGTCGAACGGTTCACTCGAGTTCTTACAAACTGGTAAAAAACAAAAAAACAATGAGGATTTCCAACAAGCAAGAAAGCAAAGTGCAGCGAGGAAATTATTATACAGTTTAGAGAGAAGAGGATGCAGTTCGGGAGCATACTTCTTAATAAATATTATACGGATACCACCAGATCTACTTTGTGTGGACTCAGATTAGAGATAATAGCAGAAATCATTGAAGGTATTAATATGCATATGAATCAACAGGGACCCAGTTCTAAGTGAAAAATTAGGTCCAAGATACTCCAGATGAGTCAAGAGTAGAGATTAAAGTGTTAGACATTTTCATGACGGTCGTCTTCGAGTAGGAATCCAGAGGTTAGCAGTGAATATTTTGGAGACAGTAGGAAAGCGTAGTGCAGGTTCGCAGTGGATATCGCAGTAAAGTAACAGAGCGTAGTTCTTCCGTCTGTCCTGTTCGCCGGACAAGTTGCTCTGGTCATTCCGGTAGAAAAACAAAGATGGCCGCCTTTATACACGACGGATACAGTGTTCTGCGGCTTCTGATTGGTTAATCTTCTATTGGTAGACTATAAAGGGAATTAAGTCATTTTGACTCGCTCACTAGTCATACACATATATATCCAAAAAACCGTAACATAAAGACAATTTACGGGCG